TTAAAAATTTCAACTTCGACATTGCCTTAATTATCGCATAATTAAAATTTAGCCAAGATTTAAAATGTTTTAACGTTTCTAGACCAAAATAGTTATAAATAAAACTAGAATTAAAACGATGGTATTTAAACGGGTAATTAGTCACACGCATTATAAGGCCAGCGTTTATTAAAATTAATTAATGATAGGCTCGTATAAATTAAACAAAATTAAACAATCATATATAGTAGGCCAACTAAACGAGCAAATAAATAAGATGTAAAATTTTTTTTTTTTTTTTTTTTTTTTTTTTTTTTTTTAATAGTTAAATCATTAAATTAACATTCCGTTACAGAATCGATATAAATTGTAAACGTTTCGACTGCACTACAGTCTTTATCAATACATAAAAATTAAATATTAAAATATAAAGTTAGATGTTAAAAATACAGTTAGTTAAATATTAAAATATAAAATTGAAACGATTCTTCGCTGTTGACCAATAGATATGCAAGGCGATTGGTCTGAGATGCCAAGTTATGCGACATTTGAGCATGCTACGGATATAATACGCGAATTAATATTAAATTAGACTCTGCTAGACATTCGGTTATCACGGAACACATTCTAAACGAACAACATACATTTGACTGGGACAATATTAAAATTATGGATCATGAAAAGAATTACCATAAAAGACTAATATCTGAAATGATCCACATTAAAGAACAGAAAAATGGAATTAATTTAAATACAGACACCGAATTGTTAGACAGTAGTTATTTTGACATACTTAAAAAATTTGCTGAATCATAATTTAGAAAAAACATTGGTAATAAATAAATACATCACGCTCTCTATTTTGACATTTGGTATTCAGACTTCGCAACACACACTTGAAATATCGGGGAAAAGGACTTGTTAAAACGATAATGTAAGTTGAAAGATTTTTTAATTTTCTCTGACATTGATTTAATTCGCGTATTATATCCGTAGCATGCTCAAATGTCGCATAACTTGGCATCTCAGACCAATCGCCTTGCATATCTATTGGTCAACAGCGAAGAATCGTTTCAATTTTATATTTTAATATTTAACTAACTTTGTATTTTTAACATCTAACTTTATATTTTAATATTTAATTTTTATGTATTGATAAAGACTGTAGTGCAGTCGAAACGTTTACAATTTATATCGATTCTGTAACGGAATGTTAATTTAATGATTTAACTATTAATAAAAAAATTTTTACATCTTATTTATTTGCTCGTTTAGTTGGCCTACTATATATGATTGTTTAATTTTGTTTAATATTGAATATTTTAGGGGTGGGTTTACATTAATTTTTTTATCTGAATATCGAATAATTATTTTTTTTAGATTAATTAGAATTTATATATTTAGAAATTTATTAAAATATTCAATAATTTTAACTTTTATTTTAATTAATATTTTATGTAGAATAGTAATTTTTATACATGGAATACTTCCTCGAATACGATATGATGAATTAATATATTTATGTTGGAAAATTATTTTACCAATAATTTTAGTTTATATTTTATTAATTTTTGGATTTAAATTTATATTATAAATAATAATTTAGTAAAAAAAATTAAATGTTTAAAAGTTAATAAAAAATTAAAATTTCTTTAATATGTTTTCAAAACATAAACTTAAATTCAAGATCATTACCTTAATTTAATAGTAATTTATAAAAAATTTAAGTATTAAATATAATTATTTTTAATATTTTAAATTTATTTATAATGATAAATTTTTTAATATTTATTTAAAAATAATTAAATCTCAAATTTTTATTAGGAAAGGTAATAAGATAAAATAAAGAAAGTAACATAATGATAAAATTTGTCTAATAATGATAAAAGGTATTTCAATAGGTTGAGCTCCTGCTCATGTTAATAGAATAAAAATATTAATGAAAATTCAAAATAAATATTGATTTAAAGGATAAAATGATAATGAATTAAATTTTATAGAAATTAGAGGTAAAAAGTATAAGATAATAATTGATGATAATAATGCAATTACACCTCTTAATTTGTTAGGGATAGATCGGAGGATAGCATAAGCATATAGAAAATATCACTCAGGTTTAATATGAATTGAAAATGTATTTTATAAATAAATGAAATATTATATATATATATATATATATAATATATAAGTTTATATATATATATATATATATATATATATATATATATATATATACACAGATATGACAACCGTTATCTTGATTTTTTCCGATTATTGATGTTACATTGCGTATAACTCTCATTTCTTTCTCTCTGCTACATAAGTACTTATGACGTGAAAAAACTTACGAGTAACGTATGATGGCTCAATGCAAGAATATTTAATCACGTAAAAAACTTGAGTTCAAATATATTAATATCAATTTTTTTATAATATATTGAAATATAGAAAATCATAGAAATATATTTTTTATGTAGGCGATAAACTTAAAAATTTGATATTGAAAATATTTTAATTATTTTACAACTACACACACTATAAATATATAAATGCAAAATAATTTCGTAAATAAATTTCAAGTAATAAATCAATTGCACACATGCACACAGCTGGTATGTAGATTTTTATTAAATTTATTTTCTGAATTATTTTACACTTATATATAGTGTATGTAGTAAAAATATTTTCAATATATTAAAAAATTTTTAAATCGCCGAAATATATCTTTTATCAATTTTCTATATTCCAATATATATATATATTATATATATATATATATATATTATAAAAAAATTAATATTGATATATTTGAACTCTAATTTACTGGATGATATATACTGAACATCCTTGCATTGATTATACATTACTCAACGTTCTTTCACGTTATAAGTATTTGGAGCAAATTATACAATAGCATCAATAATCAAAAAGAAATCAAGAATAATCAACATATTCCTTATATAATATATATACATATATATGTATATATATATATATATATATATATATATATATATATATATATATATACGCACATATGTGCATAAGCATATATAAAATTTACAAAAAGTAGGTACTTATTAGCCTTGCTACGCTACTGCCTTCTGCTACGGAAGGCCATTTTCAGGCGGCATCTCGCGTATACCGGCACGGTAGAGGAACAAGGAGAACACGTGATTATCGGTCCTTGTCTCTCTACGGTGTGTTCGCGTGAGCAATGCAATGGTGTATGTACGTGTACAGACATGCACCACTACATAAAACCTGAGAATTGGTTTCTCGGCGTTGGCAACACTGAAATCGGAGTTTCGCGTTGTCACCGCGCGAGGTCTCCAACATCAATTCGGAGTTTGGCTGACCGACCTGTCGACCCTTAATATATGTCGCAAATATTTGAAATATGTCACTTATGGGGCAGTGCGCATGTCAAATGCACGCGTGCAATGTTGGCAGAATTGTTTTAAAATTGTTAAAGCGGGAAGCACACACTTTTGCATAAGCGCATAAGTGTAAGCATAAGAATCTTGATTGGTCTATGAACGTATGCATAAGAAATTCAACCAATCGAATTTCTTATGCATCTGCTTATGCGCTTATGCAAAAGTGTGTGCTCCCCGCTTTAAACTTCATTCAAAAAAGTGGCAAAGAGCAGTGGGAGAGGACGAATGAAAAAATTGGGAAAACAGCAAGATTGTTACGTAAGCTTTTATGGCTCCTCTGTTCTTTATTTCGAATTCATAATGGCACTTTGACTGATCTTCGTTGTACATACATATAAACTTAAAGTTAAAAGAATAAAGTGTAATATAAAGTAGTACAACACATCAGGCACTCTGTTTCTTTTTTTTAAGTGTATCGTGCGATTCCACTAGTACTAATAATAAGTGTATAACGAATAGTAATATAATTATAATGTATATAATTAATAATTTGTTTATACGTGTCCATACATAACAATACTCTAGAAACAACTTGCTCTTTAGCTTTTAATTAAGCGCATTCCTTTTCATAATTGATCGATTATTCTTTTTTCGGATTTTTAACATCCACAATTGTTGACAAATCCACCGTTGTGATCTTACAATATTTTATGTCCTACAACTATAAGGTAAATATCTCTTAATTATAAATAACTTTGTATTATTTATAGACATAGGAAATATAGACTGCGCATGTGTGCTAAAATTAGAAAAAGAAAATATCTATATATATATATTCTCCTCTACTCTTTTATTTGAGAGAGGAAACTATACTTCCCAAAGCATTGTCTCTTTTTCTAATTTTGGTGTAGCTTTTGTTCAATATGCACGCAGTCTATAATTTCTACATTTATTCTCTAATAGCGCAACATATCCGTAAGATATTCAGGGGATATCCAGAGAACATTCAAATATCCTCAGGATGTTCTCTAAATGTCTTCGGGATATGTGTGCTATTATAAGATTATATTATCTTCACTTTGGTATCACTAGTCTTCTATTAGACTTTTTTGTTATTTCTGCAGTGTGAAACGAAAATTTCCTGATTGTTAATATCGTAGTTTTGCTAAACTAAACGAATACAGGCGTTACGTAGGATTTCGATAATATACAGGTTACGTGTTCCTGTATTGCTGAAACTAATCAACTGTCATTTTTTAATGCATACAGTTATTAAGAAAACAAAAATTGTGTTGAGAAAAGAGGAAAGCAGTTTTTAATCGATATAAATAAAATGTTTGTATATTTTATTGAAAAAATAATGGAAAAAGTGCTAATAAAATCACATATGTAAACTAATGATAAATAATATTTTCGAAGTGCGCACCATTTAAATTTGTACAAAATTCTGTTTTTTTACGAAAACACATTTGTGTGATTTTATGTGATTATTAACACCTTTTTCATTACTTTTTATCAATAAAATAAACTGATATACAAACATTTTATTTATATGCATTAAAAACTGCAGATTTGCCTCTTTCCAACACAATTTTTGTTTTCTCAATAACTGCGTGCATTAAAAAACGACAGCTGATTAGTTTCAACAATTTTCTATGGGACACCCTGTACGAAAAAAATTATAATAATATCTCGATAAATAAATCGTTTGTATCTTATTCAATCGTAAATTCGCGGCGTTTTTATTGTTGTGCGCCGAAAGAGTGCGATTTTTCCCTCTCAACATCGTCTTTCTCATATGTTTCCTATTTCACACAAGCGCTGAGTATTCTTGTTCCATCTCGCTCAGCATGTTGTAAAGTCGTTTTTTCAAGCTGTCAGTCGCTGCCGCGCGCGGCAAATGCGTCGTGTCGCCATCAGGATTGGAGCATTGTCTCAATAACACCGCTAAAGTGCTGGTGGTATGTTCTGACATTAGTAATCCAGGAATGATTATCGTTCCTGAAAGCGTCCAACCGAGAAAGATTTTCTCGCAGATAATCTGCAAGTACACATATATTTCTAACTTTTGCGACGAAATTTGATAATAAATTAAATAAAATTCAAAATGGCGTATCCAATAATTATACTATTATAGAATTAAGAAAATAAAGAATGACAAAATTACGTTTGAAAGGAAAAAGACTCTTCTTTAAAGAGTTTTGCTTTAATAGACAGGTCGATGCTGCATCCTTATGGAAATTTAATACTGTATATAATCATTAGAAGCTCAATAATTCAATTACTATATATCATTACTGTAGAATTACTCAATAATTTAATTACTGTAGAAATTACTGTATATCAGCCAATTAAGTACTCGAAATAAGTGATTAATTGGACTTACTAGTGATAAATTTCCATAAGGGCAGCGAGTGAGAAATTTTCTGTTAAATCGTACTAATTTGTTCATTCAAGTTAATGACGCATTATTTAAACACCTTATGTAATTTTAACCTTATTGTCTATTTTCATTAGTTAATTTATGTTATGGTTTTCAACTTAAATAAAAATAAATTTTACTTCAAATAAATTTTTCGATTATTTGATTGTAACTCTTTAAAGAAAGCTCAAATGTAATTTTGTCATTGTTTATTGTCAACTTATTTTAACCTAACGAATCGATTACCTGTAAGTTATTATTGAGAACCGGCGATTCGCAGCGTTTATTTTTGGAGCAGACCGACCGGCAGTCGAAGTAATCACAGTCCTCGTGTTTCTCGCAGCTCTTACCATCAGCAATTACACGATCAATGATAGTTTTCGGGAAGACCGCGTCTAGATCCAAAAATTTTAATTTTTGCCCACCTAGAGGCAAGCCAAAATGATTGATCTTCACGTCGCAGAGATAGAGCGGCTCGGGGAAGTCCGCTTCGAATTCCTCGAGCAAATTAAGAATCATCACAGCGAGCTTTAGCCTTTTGGCCCATTCGGGTTTCGAGTCGGATAGGGCCAGCACCGTCGTGGGTGTCTCGATCGGTCTGACGTACTCGACCGCGTAAAAGGTGCCGCACGTGCCGATCAGTTGCGGAAACACGTCTCTGTCCTCGTACAGGATCATCATCAGATATTCGTTCTCCTGCAGCAACGGCCAGAGATTCTCCATCTCCAATTGACGTCTCTTCGTTTCAGTCTCTATCCGATGTGTTCGCAATCGGGCAAGTCTCTCCAATTGATGTCGCGCGAGGCTCATATTCAGTTTATTGATAATCAAGTCCTTGATCATGATGATGAAGTCGTCTTCGGATGGAAAGTGTCGCAAACCAGTCGCGTCCATCCAGTACAGAGACTCAAATTGCTCCGAGGATGTTTTGGTCCTGAATTGAAAAATCATTCGTATTGAAATTTCTTATGCTATACAATATATAGAGTGGGTCATTTTAATGTTCTAAAAATCTTATTTCCTATACACATATCCCAAAGACGTTCAGAGAATATCCTATAAGAATGTTCGAATGTTCTCTGGATATCCTTTGAATATCTTTGCGATATGTTGTGCTATTAAAGATGTCTTTTACAAAAAAATGTTTCGCACATAAATTGTTTAACTTTAAATTAAAATTAAGAGTTTAACAAGGTTCTGTAATATAAATATAAATATAATGTATAAGACAGGCAATAAGAGCCAAATCGCGGATGACAGTGTGTTATCCCAACGAAACTAAATTTTTTCGTTAGAATTAAATACCTGTGCACAAGGCACCAAATTTTACTTGGTCACGGCCAAGATTTAAAATTGGAATAATCTCTACAAGAGATTTAATTCCATACATCCTCTGTTCCCCCCTAAGGAAATAAATGCGAGAGAAAAATATAGATCCGAAAGTCGCAGAATCGGGAATCGAACCCGAGACCTTTCGCTTGCCGGGCGACTGCTCTTCCAACTGAGTTATTCAGATCCTTTCGATTCTATACTTTTCTCTGCTATATATGTAATAATGTTGATAAACAAACGCCTTTAAGCCATTGTGTATAAATTAAGAGCAATGCATCGTATGTTGGTCAGACTAGTAGGAAATTATCTACTAGAATATCTGAACATCGATCTAATATACACAGAAATGTAAAAAAATCGGTAATCACTGATCATGGATTAAAACATAATCATGAATTTTGTTGAGACGATGTAAAAATACTTGATAAAGAATCACACAATATAATAAAAGATTGATTTCAGAGATAATATTTATAAAAAGGCAAAATAACAGTCTCAATTTAAAAACAGATATTGATGGCTTGCCAGTAATTTATGACGACATTATACATAGACTACCAAAGATTTGAAAGTTAAAAAACATAAACAACTAACTATTTTCTCAGTTGTGCGGTCGTCTCTCTGAGAGTTATAAATCATACGTTATTGTTACCTCGAGCTATCAACATCTGAAAGCCTCCACGTCACAATATAACATCTTACTCGATTTAACTGTAAGTCCATTTTTATTAATTTACTTATTTTCAATGTTAATTTTTTGTATACTTATGATTTTATAGACACATTAACAATGGCTGTTATTGAGATTTGCAACCGACCTCCTAACAGAACAATTAGCGAGAGATCTGTTTCGCGACGATTACATATAATGACGTTGTGAGGAATAGAATATATACTAAAAATGTTCTTGCTTTATAATTGCGTTGATCTCGGGTGTTAGCATATAACTTAATTGACTCCGTATATTTTTATTATAATGACAGTGATGAATAATTTATTGTTAATTTCTACTAATCTTTTAATTTTTAATTGATGCGCTGAAGAAGGTTGAAAAAGACAACCGAAACGTACGAATTTACTTCTGTATAATATTTAATAATTTATGTTATAAATCTTTTCACAAATATAATTCTAGTATAGAACTTAATTAGCTCTTATTGCCTTTTTATTTGTAGATTAAAATTTTCTAAAGAGCTGTTACAAATTATATAAATTAAGAGTTTAACAAGGCTCTGTAATATAAATATAAATATAATGTATAAGACAGGCAATAAAAGCCAAATCGCGGATGACAGTGTGTTATCCCAACGAAACTAAATTTTTTTGTTAGAATTAAATACCTGTGCACAAAGCACCAAATTTTACTTGGTCACGGCCAAGATTTAAAATTGAAATAATCTCTACAAGAGATTTAATTCCATACATCCCCTGTTTCCCCCTAAGGAAATAATTTTAGTACTATAAATACCTTATTTTTATTTAACTCTTTATTAACTGTATAGAATGAAAAATCCTTTACTAGAATTAAAGTATCCATAATAACAAATTTGGGCTACTACGCGCGCACACATACACACACACACAACACACACACACACACACACGCACACGCACACGCACACGCACACCCACCCACCCACCCACCCACCCACCCACCCACCCACCCCACCACACACACACACACACACACACACACACCCCACACACACACCCACACCCACACACACACCCACCCACACCCACACACACACACACACACACACACACACACATATATATATATACATATAAACTAAATAATTAGTTTTTCTATCGGTCTTTTGTATTGGGTCAACCTAATCTAAATAATAAAAAAACTGTAATTATTTAACTTTCTTCTGTTTATATACACATTTGTTATTATGAATACTTTAACTTTAGTAAGATTTCTCATTTCGTATAGCTAATAAAGAGTTAAATAAAAATAATCTTTGTCGATAAAACAGACCTAATCAGCATCCCCTTAAGGATAGAATCCCCCAAATAAATATGTATATATATATATATATAGTACCCTTCACAAATTTGGAAACATTTTACATTTTACAGTTAAACAATTGCATGGCAGTGATCTGTCATAAATAAAAATGCCATTTAAATATTTTACGTTTATTTTACGATTTATTCATACAAAAAATCTGTACAGATCTGTCAAAGGGATCCTTTTAATTTAAGAGAAAAATTCTCTAAAAAAATATTCTTTAATTAAATATTCGTAACATGCAAGAATATATATACTTAATGAGATTTTTTATCAGTATATTATTTGAAATATTATTAATCGTGATAACAAAAAACAGTCTAATAAATGGACATTTGTTATTTATTGCATACAGTACTCTTTACAAGCTTGGAAACACTTTACATTTTACAGTTAAACAATCGCATGGCAGCGATCTGTCATAAATAAAAATGTCATTTAAATATTTTATGATTTATTCATACAAAAAATCTGCACAGATCGTTACCATACAATTGTTTAACTGTAAAAGATAAGGTGTTTCCAAACTTATGGAAGATACTGTATATATAATAAAAAAATCACCTTGAAGCCTTGAACACGAGCCGAGTCGCTTCCCAATGCGCGGAGAAAACTGCCTCTTTGCCCGCATGGAGAGTTTCACATGCCAGAGAATGTATCCCCTTTTCGGCGCACAATGGTTCGCAGAGAATTCCCATCGCGGTACCGTCTCGATGCTGGCTGCACTAAAACGAAAATTACGAAAGTTATACGCTTATTAAAATATGTAATATTAATTAATAATTAACATTAATGTACTAATATCGATTAATATAATATTAAATATATTATAATATATTTAATTAAATATATTATAATTTTAATTTAATTTAAATATATTATTTTACAAAATATATAAATATATACAGGATATTTTTCTAAATAAGTGCAAAAAATTTTAAGAGATGATTTTTTGTCAAAAATTAAGGGGGGTGTTTTCATATAAGCATATACTCCTACATATATCCCTCTCTCTGACAATTTTCTAAAGGAGGAGGTGAAAATTTATTATTTTCTTCTCGAAAACTATTGAGTTTACAAAAAATAAATAAATAAATAAATAAATAAATAAATAAATAAAAGAAATAAAAAGATAAAAAAAAATAAAAAAGTTTCTAAAGGAATCAAGCTTTCTAACTCATACTTTTAGATGACACATTTACACATTCTGGTTTCGTTAAAAAGTTCTAATAGAAAACTGAATAAAAGTTGTTAGTTTCATCCCCTTATACGAAGATTTTTCATTTCGTATAGCTAATAAAGAGTTAAATAAAAATAATCTTTGTCGATAAAACAGACCTAATCAGCATCCCCTTAAGGATAGAATCCCCCAAATAAATATGTATATATATATATATATATAGTACTCTTCACAAATTTGGAAACATATTTATTTATTTATTTTTTGTAAACTCAATAGTTTTCGAGAAGAAAATAATAAATTTTCACTTCCTCCTTTAGAAAATTGTCAGAGAGAGGGATATATGTAGTGAAGATTAATAAATATCTTTTTTAAAAAATATTAATAAATATCTTTTTTTAAAAATATTATTAAATATTTTTTTATTAGTGAAAACTACTAATATAAATAAATATTTTTTAAATATTAATAAATATCTTTTTTACTAGTGAAAAATATTAATAAATATCTTTTTTATATACTAGTAAAAATTATCCACCAAATTTCATTTTTTAAACTTGTTTAAAATTTGAAAAAATCCTCTTTTGGAGGAGTATAACTTCTCAGGAAAGGATATAGAGAGAAATATATATATATATATATATATATATATATATATATATATATACATCTCATATTATATATATATATATATATATATATATATATATTTTCTTTTTTTAACTTTTAATAATTAATTTACACAATAATGATATGCAACGAGAGGATACGTATCGAATCCGCATCCGCTTGAATATTTTGCTACAAAAATAACCGAATGTAAATAGGATGAATAAATATTTTAGTGCTCGCTTCTTTCTTTGTTACACATTGTGCTCCGGTGAATCAAGAGCAATGGAGGAATATTACTCTCTCACGCGCGTAGGCGCTGTCACATATATACTCTTGCGTACCACATATTATTCGCGTTCGTTGTACACATGTGATAACCGCGTTGTCATGATGTTATACGTACATACACAGACTAGTTGCTTTCATACGATATTTTTAGTCGGCCCAATCGGTCTTAATGATGAAGGGGAACAGGGAACGGTCGTTAATTTGCGGCCCCTATATATACAGAGTGTTTCTTAAACACATGTCAAAAATTCAAGGGGTAATTTTTTGGGTCATTTTATGAAAATTTATATCTTTAATGATTTTTCGAAAATTTATTTCGAAGATACAGGGCGATATGATATGATGCCGGAATGTGTAGCATATCCATTCTGTTATTATTGGTTGTTACTATAAATAAAAAAATATTGTAAATTTATTAATTTTGTTAATCATTTTTTTATTAATTTTTTGTAAATTTTTGTGGTTTTGTAGCTTTGAAATGAAGCAATTTTCGAAAAATCATTAGAGGTATAAATTTTCATAAAATGACCCAAGAAATCACCCCTTGAAATTTTAACATATGTTTAAGAAACACTCTGTATACATGCGCGTGTCTACCGCGCATTTTTTGCCATAGCGATTTCTTAAATAATTGAGACGAAATGAATTATCTCTCTTGTCTCACGTATTTTTCCAAGAGTAAATGTTCATTTCAAGGTTCGTATTATCGCGAAATTTCTCGCAGAAGTGTGCGAAAGTGTGAACGAAGAAGCGAAAAAAGGAATTTGATTTTATGAAATTGTATTTCCAGGAATTACAACGAAATTATTCACATTTTAGTGATAAAAATTAGTCATATTTTCCAGTCTTTGGAAATTAAATTAAATTAAAATTTTATTTACTATTGGATTGATGTATTTTTATTATTTATAATTTTATTAATTTGAAAAATATAATTATCTTCTTTAATTTTAGAAATAAAAAGACTATTTATACTCTTATTAGAACATTTATATATATATGTGCAATATTTATTCGCTTTTATCTTTCTTTCTTATTCTTTTTTAAATACGATAAAAATATTTTTAGATAATTTAATAAATTATTACGATTATATAAATTAAAAATAAATCAAATATCAATTACAGAAATTTTTAGAGTATAATAATTCGATAGAATTAAATTGTTTTTAATTAAACGAACATATGCGACAAAGAGCTTAGAAGAGTATCAGATGTTATATGTCGCTGTTCATGTCCTACGATCTCGCGTGTTTCAGTTAAGTATTACGTAAAGCGATTTTCTTAATTCTACACTGCGACAATGCTGTTAAAATGTAATAACCAATGACATATGTAAGGCTTGAGTCATATAAGACTTCATCGACATTGTCTAATTAGGTTTAATAGCAGTCTATTTCTTTTTACTACTTTTTATTGCTTGCAAAAAAGTTTTATTAATTTAGTGATTTTATTCCACAAATTGCAGAGAAGTCTGTAGATGATTATAATAATTTTTTAAAAGAACATTTCAGCGCACTTATTAAAATTTTTAATATTTTTTTAAAAAATTTACTATTTTTGTGGCAAAAATTAATAATTCTTTGTTATAATTTAAGTCATTTACACATTTTGGTATGTAAATTGAAATATTTAAAGAGATTATAATAAATTATTTTATATAGTATATGTACAATTAAAATTATATCTTTACATATTATATTATCATTTAAATAACATTCTTGAGTACAGTTGATTTAATTCGGTGAAAAAATTGACATACATAAAGTATTTTAAACCATTTCAGAGATGTCATATTCAGAGTGCGGATCGATCCTGACGAAATTAGGAAAATTTTATGGGAATCGATATCTGTGGAGTTTTATTCGCGGTTATTCGGGTTATCGGAACGTACAGCCTTGCAAAAGAGAGAGAAATTATCATTGAATGAATCAAGTTTACGAGTAAGTTCGTATCAATAAGTTTCTACATACTCGTCAATAAATAAATGTTATTAATAAGTAATGTATACAGTCTTTAAAGAGTTAAGCTGTCTATTTATAATCGATTTTTCTAAATTAAGTTTGCCAAGGAACACAGTTTTGGGCCAAATACATACTTGACGTCTTTCATTCACGCGACAAGTTTATCACGACAAACGCGTTTACAATTTCACGTAAACATTTATTTTATCGCTGACCTTTTCAAAAATACTAATCATGCTCTGATCAATTTGCCAGTCAAATCTTTTGTTCGCCGGCCGACAATCTCTCCTGACACAAGTTTAACTTTCTGTCGATGTATAATTTTTCACCTTTTCATCAGTGCATACCTGGGTACTATAAATCAAACTGCGCAATAAAAAACTCTTTATGCATTTGCGGGCGGAGAAAAGTTTTAATACATTTTTAAAATTCAAAGTTGGGTTTATCGAAGGTTTAAGTCAAAGGGACAATGAATAATACGATTATTATGACAATTTTCCGGTATAGAGATTGTTTACAAAATACTTTAATAAATTTTAGGACGTTCCTCACGTTAAAATAAAGAAAAATTATATATACCTATTAAATAAGTACTTATCAATTATTAAATAAATAAAGACTTAACTTATAAGAAATGTTCAAATTGGCTGCTATTTAATTGAAAATAGCCATTGAAACAATGGAGTAAAGATTGTCAAACTATTTAAAAAATTCGGATGATTTCATAAAATCACAAGCATTAATACACATTGACATTAATACTAGCATCTCTTCGTTATCAGTAAGTTGTGAATATATGTTTTAAATGCCCCTATAAATAAAAATCTTTAATTAAGGATGTATGGGAGACATTTAAAAATGGTACAAAATTGATAAAAATTATATAGATTGTTTCTACTTTGATATTAAAGCTACTGTTAATATTTGGCTTTTAATTCACTAACTCATTTAAAAGTTATTGCAATTTAAATTTCTGCTAGTTTTATATATAATCTTATAAAAATTCGTTACTCTGAGTAAGTGATTATATTACGTTAAAAATATCGAAAAAATAGTACCGTACATTTAAAATTTTTTTCCATGTATAACTGGAACTTTAAAGAACTCTCTAAATTTCTTGGAGTGAAAACTGAACAATCTCATTCCAAAAAAGTGAAATTCTACTCCAAAAGAGTAGAATCTCACTCTTTTGGAATAAAATTCCATTCTTTTGAAATGAGATTGTTCAGTTTTCACTCCAAGAAATTTAGAGAGAACAATGTTGCAAAATTACATTAACCTTCACCAAATAATTTAATGAAAGTAATAATAATTTGTTGAAATTCTGGTTTTTTTCTCGATTTCTGAGCATTTGATTATGTCAATCCTGAAAATAGCTAAAAATTAGGATCTTAAACTATAGCGATTTTTTATAAGATAAATATTTTAAATTAATTACTGTAAAGCAATAAAGAGAATAAATCTAAATTATTTCAATATTATTCATTCCTATAGTTTAAAATTTCAAAAGCCTATATCTCTTCAAGGAAGCGTTTACGAGCAAACTTCTAGATAAAATATTTGTTTGTTTTGAGGTCCTAAATTCGTATTTTAAGTTTGGCTATTTAACCTGGAAACACCCTGTACATATACTTTCTAAAAGTTGGCCAAGTATTTCGCAAAACCCTGTAAAAGTGAAATTTTGCCAACAGAGTGAAAAATTCTCGAATGTAATAAGAACTGTCACTCGGTCACGTGTACGAATTCGCCGCCAGACGAGCGATCCAGCTCTTCCCACGCGCGGCCGGAGGCTGGAGTAGAGTAGAACGCGCGTGCGTCCTCCCTCAACCCTTCGCCGGCGCAGGATTTCTCACCCCTTCGCTCGCACTTTTACACCGGCCCCGACATATTTATACATTCCATCCCGTGCCGTCGAGCGCGCGCAAGGATCGTAGTGAGGTTCTGTGATTCGCGCACACCGCGTCGGAGCAATTCGCGGGCGGCGAACTCACCACGATGGACACGTGACGCCAGGCCTCGAGATTTGTGCACATCACACCCCAATACAGAAGCAGGTAAACGACGAGGAACAGACCGGACACCAGGAGAAGCGTCGCGAGCTTGTAGTTGTATACGAAGCCGGGCAGCCGGCGGACGTTCATGTTTTCGTTCCGTCGTCTATCTCTGATTATAAGTCGGAGGCTCTTGATTGGGGATCAAGGTGAGCGTCAGAGAGAGAGAGAATATATTTCTCTTTTATTTATATTTTCTTTCTCTCTTTCTCTCTCTCTTTTTAATTCCGACTCATTCGCGACTTATCCGGGCCTCGTCGTCTTCCACGGCGACGCTGCGACATCCTGTCGTCCCGTTGCCGCTGCTGTCGCCGCGGCCGCTGGTCTTCCGGCGCAGAGCCTGTCGTCCCGCTGACCCGGCGTTGCGTCGCGTCGCGATGGCGAAGCGCGTTTGCAGCAATGCGGCATAATCTGCGGCGCGTGCGAGAGCGAGGCGAAGAGCGTCGCGACGCTGCGCCTCTCGCGGCGAATCTCTTGGTTCCCCTCTCCAGGAACGTACGCCGGCGGATTATCTCCCTCGGGTGGAGAGACCGATGCTGAGTCTACATCTAATAAGGATAATAATCGTACTTGTGACTCGTCCGAATGAATAGTGTAGACGGTCGAAAACCATACTATGAAGTTAGCTTTCAATTGTGCACCAAAAATTTCTGATACATCTGAATTTATCTGAATTCACAAATGCAAGGTGTAAGATTAAGTTCCAAATAACACTGTGTCCAAAATTGGTGCATAAGACATTATTAAAAAATCTTTAAGACATTTTAAGAAATCGATCAAAAATCATACTTTGAAGTTATAGCTTTCAATCGTGTACCAATCGAAAAAATTTCTTGCTTTCTCCAGGAACGTACGCCGGCGAATTATCTCCCCCGGGTGGAAAGATCCGATGCTGGGTTTGTATCTAATAAGGATAATAATCCTACTTGTAGCTCGTTCGAGTGCGAGTGAATAGTGTAAACGGTCGAAAACTATACTCTGAAATTAGCTTTCAATCGTGTAATCGAAAAAATTTCTGATACATCTGAATTTATCTGAATTCACAAATGCAAGGTGCAAGATTAAATATATTTCTATATTTTCTGAAGTCGTTCACTGAAAGAGGTAAAGATCGATGGAGGGTGTATCTAGACAAATGTGCGTAGCGCATTAATATAAACATAAGGAAATCGATAGATTATTACTGATTTTATTAATAATTTTATTTATAATTTGTCACACACACAATATCAATATAACAACACTAACATTGTACAGTAGTGATTAGGTGTAGACCCAGCATGATTCTAAATATTATCACGTCTAAAAACAGGACGTAAGACGTTTTAATATGATGTTTAATATAATGTTAAAATGTCTAAAAGACATATCTTAGTGACTCCTTTACGATATCTTATGTCCTGATTTTAGAGGTTTTGCTGTCTGGGATGATCTTTAGCGGCTGAAATGACATCATCGTTCTCAAATTCGTTCGAGTACGCTAAGTAGTTACACTACATTTGACAGATGAGATTCGTACTTCGATATTCATTCGTTTTAAATCTTTTTTCGCGCATATCTCGTACACTACAACGTTCCGACCTAATCTAATCTAATCTAGCCTAACCTACTCTAATGAGACTGATATTATTGACACGCCATTACTCTTAATTGCATGACTCGAATCTCGCGAATGCAGACCATGCCGTGAGTACAAATCATAGTTTTTAAACGCATAATTGATAACGCGGTTTAAGTTTGCGTGCAACTTTTGTTGATTCATTCTTTTCTTTTTTTTAAACTTTGCGCAATAAATTGATTATTCTTTATGTGCATTTTTATTAGGAAATAATTTTTAAGTATTAAGTTGTTCTATATATGAAATGTCCAATTTTAATAAACTTTTTAAAGTTAAAAAAGTACATTCAAAGTTAATTAAATCAAAGAATAAAATCAGATATAAAAAGGAGCTTTAAAATGATATATAAAACATATACAAATAATGATATTTATATAATATAATATTTATTGACAAAGAAAGCTTTAAAAAATTTACATTGCAAAATTGGACACTTCATATGGAACAACCTAATAGTTTAAATAAGTAAAAAATTGTTATAGGAAAATTCTGAATATAAATTTTTTATACATCAATAATCAATACACAATAGAACACAAAATTTTTTGTATTACACGTGCAAGCAAAGTGGCACTTTGTGTGCGTGTTTTCTGTGCGGAAAACGGCCGATTTCCCACGCCGCCATCTAGCGGCGACGCGGTGTGTGAATAAGCCGCATTCAAAGCCATTGCCTACGGCTGAGCCGCGTTCAAAGTCATTGCCCACGGCTATTCCCGCACCGTGCCGCCGCAAGATGGCGACGTGTAATCGGCCACCTCGCGCACAGAAAACGCGCACAAAGCCACTTTGCCTGCACTTGTAATACAAAATAGTATGTGTATCACGTGCGGATTGACAATTGTTTACTCGTGTGGGGTGGTCGTACCCGCCTTCGGCTCGTGCGTCCATCTCCCGCACTCGTGACCAATTGTCAACTTTCCGCACTTGATACACAATATACTATTTTAAACACAGCTCTAAAAAAATAATTATTTTATTGCAACAATATCGCTATAAAAATAGATTTATGCTGAGCGTATACTCATAAACTAAAGTTTTATTTTTGAGTTTTTGATTTCAAATGAAAACAGCAGGCGCTACATTCCCCGAAATAACTTTTTTCCTGATGAGCTGGATATAAGACCTTATAATTCTAATATTTATGACTTTTTTTATAATAAAAAAAGATATTTTTTAGTAGTTCAATGGTGTAATAAAATATACTCAAAATTTCAAAAAGATTGATTCAATACTTTCTTTATAATAAATTTCCGAAAATTCGTGAACTTTTAGCCACTTTACACTAGGCTCCCCTCTCAACGGCATCTCAAAATATAATTTAAAAGCTTTAGAATTTGATTCATGATCATACGACTTTTTTCATCAAGTTATGGCTGTTTGAATTTTAAACATTCTGTATAATTTACAAGATAGTAAAGTATATGTAGGAACAAATATAAAAAAGTAAATGTAATATAAATTTACTTACAATGCATAGGTTAAAATAAAAGGTTAAAAAAAGAAAGAAGAGTTATTTGCTCCTGGTACAAAAAATGTAATGAAATATTCTGTTGATGCAAAAAAATTATTTTATTACATCGGCACATTAAAGTAGGTCTAATGTCCAATATTGTGAAAACATTGATTTAAATTAAATATATAAATGCATATATTTCAAAAAATTGAGCATTGCAAAAAATGAAGTAAGTATATATTTGCAAGCAAGTATGTATTTGCCTTTTTTGTACTGCAGATTATACGAAAAGCCTCTTAAAATCCAAACAGCTATAACATGAAAAAAAGTTATACGATTATGAACTAAAATTCATTTTAAAGCTCTTGAATTATACTTTCAAATGCCGTCAAGTATATTTATAGAAAGTTTTCTTTATGTCGTAAAAAAATTAAAAGTAAAAAATACCATTTTCTATCAAATAAAAATCAAAGTAAAAAATACCATTTTTTTTACCAAAAATATCTTTTTTTTTTATCTTCTTTAGTCCAATTTACTTAAAATTCTGATGCGCTGGACAAATTCTGATGACGATATCGTATTCAATACAAATAAAAATCTTCGAGAAACGTATTGTCGCACTTCGGAGAGAAAGAAAAAGTGATTTTTTGTCCTACTGTATTATAACAACAGATCGCTTCTTCCCCCCTCTCTCTCTTTCTCGGTCGTTTTATCTTCCGGTGACGCGTCTTTATCTTTTCGCGCAATACATTCGAAATATGATATCATGTATTGTAGACAGTGTTTGCAGTTATCTAAATAAAATTATCTAAATAAAATTATATAGATGATCATCTAGATGAAACTTTGGCATTATCTTAACTTTATATAGATAATAAAAATATATATTGTCTATATCTGCATCTTAGATAAAAAAAGTGTTATTTTTATTATTAAATTGTCTAGAGTAATGTTCAATCATGAGTCAGTACAAAAATACATAGTAGTAGAATTTCTACTACTACTACAAGAAGTAGTAGAAGCAGTAAATAAAAATATAAATATATTTTTATATCCCTTTTTTAATGTACATTTTTTTATAACTGTGTGTTTACATAAGCAGTTTTGAAAATAATATTATCTAGAAATATAATTTTATCTTTTATCTAGATATATTTAAACAAAATTATCTTCGTCTTATCTAAGATAATTTTACATATTTTCATCTCATTTATCTAGCTAATTTCAAAATCATCTAACAAACATAACACTGTCGATCTAATATAATTGGCATTTAATTTACATTTTTTAAATAATTATGTTTAAATAAGCGGTCTTAAAAATAATATTATCTGGAAGTTATCTAAGTGACTCGTCATATAATTTTATCTAGATATATTCAAAACAAAATCATCTTCGCCTTATTTAACAAGGGAACGGTCGGAAATATCGTTCACTGATTTTAATGAGTCGTGAATATTTGTAGAGCATTGAAAAATATTAGACCTGTGTTTTTTTTAGCGGCGTATCATGACGTTTAGGAGGTAAAACATCGCTTTAAAAAATCGATTTTTTTTAAATTTTTTAGCTAATACCGTCAAAACGGTAAAAGATATAAAAAATATTTCAAATAAAAGTTTAATGGTTTTTAATGTTCTTTAAACCAATGTAATCAAATTTTTTAAAAATGTCAAATTTTTCAAAAATTTCAAAACTTTCCCTTTACATAATTTAATTGCACGCCGCTAAAAAAACACAAGTTTAATATTTTTCAATGCTCTATAACATATTCAAGGCTCATTAAAATCGGTGAGGGACACTTTCAACCGTTCCCTTGTAAGATAATTTTATATATTTTCATCTTATTTTTATCTAGCTAATTTTAAAATCATCTAAGCACAACACTGTCAATCTAATATAATTGGCATTTCTAACAGCATACATATCCCAAAGACGTTCAGAAAACATCCTGAAGATGTTTGAATGTTCTCTGGATATCCTCTCAATATCTTTTGGTTATGTTGTGCTATAGGGATTTAATTTATATTTTATCTTTTATAATTATGTTTACATAAGCGGTCTTAAGAATAATGTTATTTGAAAGTTATCTAGATGAATCGCCATACAATATAATTTTTTTTCTTATCTAGATTTAAAACAATATCATCTTCATCTTATCTAATTGTAAGATAAATTTACATATTTTCATCTCATTTTTATCTAGCTAACTTTAAAATAATTTAAGCACAACACTGATCGTAGGCGACGCACATGTGTCGCGTCACGTCATCCACGTTCGCCAGCAGTTTCTGAATCGCGCGCGCTACCAAATGCGCGGTGCGAGCAAGCGAGCGAGTAGAGACAGAGACGCACCTGCGTGCCGTGGCGCGCAGCTGCGACCTTCGATGCCCTTGTACCGCCGTTTCGACGGCCGTTCCGACGGCGGAGAGACGTCGTCGTCATTTTTACACGGAACGCACGTCCACGTAGAGGTCCACGTAGAGGCTGCTCTGTCGTTCCGTCGACGTTGTTCGTTCGATTCATCTCCCGTTGACAGTCAGTTAAAGACTCCGCGCTCGTAAAGTCGAGCACCGGAAGTGTTCCGCCGCACGGGACGTGTCGTCATCCGCGCGCGAGTGCGGATTTTCCGTTTGCGGTTTTGCTTTTTCAAAAAAGGGATTAAAAGAGGAAAAACGCTTTCCGGGGAGTTGGTGAGTACCAAAATACGCGTAATTAATACCTTTATTTTTTTAAGGAAGAATAATATAATTTATAAATATTATGTGACAAACATTATGATGAATATATATTTTGGATAGAGAAACACTCTGATATCGATATATCTCATCTTCTGATGCAATAAATGTCTAAAATGAGATAGATGTGATGTGATTTCTATATTAATTATATCTAATGAAATTCTTTAAGCAATAAATTATGCAGTTTAAATCTCAAACTCTTTTCTGTTTTTAAATTTTTGCTTTGAAATTTGAAAATTCTTTACAAGTTCTGATTAGAGAGAATAGAATTAATGAAAGTGATACTTTTTTCTCTAACCATTTCCGATTTGCTTTCCCTGTAACTATTTACTTCTTGGGCAAGTATAATATACATACCATATACGAAATTTGTGTAAATCGATGCGATATGATTCGTCCCGTGGGCAATTTGCATTAAACGCTTCTGACTACTCTCGCTATTGTGACTACTTGCTTCTTCATAAAATCTTTTTTTATCATTAAAATCATTTTTGATCCGACTTATAACTATGCCGATTTTTTGACATTGATAATAAAAGCGAGAGATTTGACACAAAAATTCATATTTTATTTCTTCACAATATTATTTAAATTCTTTTCTATTACTGAAACAAAATAAAAGTAATATAATAAATAAAAATATAAAAATTATGTAAAATAAAAAAAGATAAAAATTAATAAACCCTTCTCTAATAGTATAACATGTCCGAAAGAAATTTAGAGGATATTCAGAGGATATCCAGAGGATATTTGAACATTCTCAGGATGTTTTCTGAACGTCTTCGCCCTTCGGGATATGTGTGCTGTCAGGGTTTATATCAAAGTTTACATGATTTTTTTCTCTTAAAATTTACAGTCAAAAAAATTACGTGGATTGTAACTAAACGAAAAATCGTAGTCGACATGTGTGATCAATGTGAATGTAGAAAGTTCACCGATTAGACAAGTTATTGTAAACTGTCTGACGGATCTGATGGTTCTCCACCAATCGCAAATCTTCGAATTTCTCGACGCGAGAGAAATACATTTGACAACGCCACCGCAAGACCTTCGACGTGTATCGTATATCGTAGAAGATTGCAATTGCTCTGCTACATACGTACCGGCGGACGAAAATAAACGCGATTGTACAGTCTGCGGCTCGAAAGCGATCCGCGTTCGACGATTTCATCTCGCGCGTACGAAAGCGCGGAATTCTTCCGTCCGAATTTCACGGCTTTTTTATTACCTTATTACAAAGTCAAGCTGAGATTGAGTCCCAAATCTGCTCTCCGGCAAGTTTGTTCTTTCCAATTAGCTTCTATTAGTTTATTTCGCGTAATGATCATACAATAATACACTAGTCGATAAAAAGAAAACTTGTGGTTAGTTGTTAAGGATGTTTGAACAGATTTAAGATATTTTAAGGACGCTGAATCTAAAAATGACAACACTTTTGCCGAATTGGCTCTAGTTTCTGAGATAGTAGATACTTAAATTACGATTTTATCCCAAATACGTACGATCTGTAGCTACCAGTGTTTGCTGTTATCTAAGTAAAATTATAGTATATTGATGAAACTTTGGCGTCATCTTATCTTTATATAGATAATAAATATATGTATTATTTATATCTGCATCTTAGATAAAAAAAAAGTATTATTTTTACTAAATTATCTCGAATAATTTTCAGATAATTTTGGTTTAGAATCATAGCACATAAAAATACTTATTAAGTAGTAGAACTTAAGCAGTAAGCGAAAAATATTTATAAATAAAAATATGAATACATATATTTTCATATTTCTTTCGTAATTTACATTTGTTTTATAATTGTGTTTACATAAGCAGTTTTAAATAGTATTATCTAAAAAATTATTTAGATGAATTGCCACATAATTTCATTTTTTATCTAGATATATTTAAAACAAAAGCACATCTTTATCTTATCTAAGATGAATTTACATAAATGCAAAAGGTTTCCGGATGGATGCCGCGTGGTTTAATAGCGTAATGCCGACGTTTTCGCAAACGTTGCAGTTTGTATCTTCAGGGCTGAGAGCTCCGATATTGAGCTTTCTTGGGTTGTGGTCCTTATATATATTATGGGAGGTTTTTTATCTACGTAATAATAAAAGTATTCCGTAATGATGCCGCCTAGTGGTGTGAGTGTATATTAAGGGCAGTGTGCCAAATAGGATTTGTTTGATAACCTTTGTCGCGGTTGAGGTTGTCGGGATGTTTTAGAATTTCTAGGGCTTCACAATGTTTCCTGGCGAAATAGCTTTGCGAGGGGGCTAGTTTGGTTGCTTTGTCGTATTGTACAATTCTGAAACATCCCGACAACCTCAACCGCGACAAAGGTTATCAAACAAACCCTATTTGGCACACTGCCCTTAATATACACTCACACCACTAGGCGGCGTCATTACGGAATATTTTTCCGTACATGAAAAATCTCCCATAATATATATAACCCAACCCAAAACCACAACCCAAGAAAGCTCAATATCGAAGCTCTCAGCTGAAGATGCAAACTGCAACGTTTGCGAACGTCGGCATTACGCTGTTAAACCACGCGGCATCCATCCGGAAACCTTTTGCATTGATGATTCCAATGGCCGCGAAAGTCTCAAATCTAGAATGAATTTACATATTTTTATCTGATCTTTATCTAGCTAATTTTAAAATCATCTAAGAACATTAGTAGCTACTGATGTATGCAGCTGTTTTTTTATTCTTTAACATTGTTTTCATCTGCAATGTGATCCTGAGCTATATAAAAGAAAATCGTATAAACAGTATTTTTCTGTGCAGTAATTGTGCATGTTATTTTACTGAATACAACGCCATTATTTTTATCATACATATACTTTTGAGATGATTTAAGCTAGTTTCCACATAATTTGAGGATAGGTTACGTCTGACTATTGCATTTTTTGCATTTTTTATATTTTTCATATTAGAGTCAATTTAGGAAAATCAATCAATGTCATATTTGGAATTAGTGACACACAGTTACTCTAAAATCAATCTACAATGTTTGCTGTTATCTAAATAAAATTTAAATAATCATCTAGACGAAATTTTGACGATTATTTTTATATATAGATAACAAAAATATATATTGCCTATATTTGCATCTTAGATCAAAAAGTGTTATTTTTATTAAATAATCTCGAATAACGTTTTAATTATGAGTCATAGCATAAAAATACATAAGTAGTAGAACTTAAGCAATACAAATTTATATAAGTAAAAATATTAAATTTATGTAAGTAAAAATATAAATTTATTTTTATATCTTTTTTATAATTAAAATTTTTTTTATAACTGTGTTTACATAAGCGGTCTTAAAATAATGTTATTTGGAAGTTATTTATATGAATCGCCATATAAATTTATCTTTTATTTAGATTGAAAACTATATTATCGTCATCTTATCTAAGATAAATTTATATATTTTTTCATCTCATCTTTATCTAATTAATTTCAAAATCACCTAAGCACAACACTGTCGAGCTAATAATTGGCAATAAAATCAGCGCTGACCAGTGAGATTGCTATTATTCAAGAGGAGAGTTACATTGGTTAATGACCTGTTGTGGCCTGATAAAGTTTGCGATGTGCTATCTACGAGCGAGAAAGAGAGAGGTCTCCGTCGAGGAAGGGTTTCCCACCCTTCAGTCCCGTGTATATGACTCGTTTAAAAAGAGGAACAAGTTTAGTCTTTGATCAAAGTTGAGGTAGGTTCACATTTGACCTTTAACCCTCCTCCTCCTTTTTGCCTCACCTGCGTGTGTGTTTCTTAGTTGCTCGTGAGAGATGCGAATTGTGACCGCGATCACACGTCACGTCGTGTCGATCGATCGATCAATTGATTAATATGCTCGCAGACGTTCGCCAGACCGCAGATCGCGAGGAGAGACCTTTAAGCCGAGATAAAGGTCACGGTCTGCTGTTTCTACCGCGCGCTGGCTACCATTCGGTTGATTTTTATTCTAGAAAATTAAAATGAATTATTGAGTTTTGCATTTTTCAAGATTTGCGGTGGAAGATCAAACTAATCTCTTGCAAATTTTGAGTTGTCTGGTTTTTCTTTTAGTTTAAAATTGAATTGGAGTTAGTTTCGTTGTGGAAAATAATTTACAATAGGATGAGAAAGAAAGTGCATTCTTTATCTTGATATCGAGAAAAATTGAGAAACGCGAATCTTACTTGCTTCTACGTCCTTGGACGGAGTTAGCGAAGGTCACCTTGATGAATGTGGCGTTCGATACGGCATGCCGGATGGATTTTCCTCGAATGTATGTCGCGCCTGCGGCATCGCATCGCATCTACCACGTGGTTTTTCGCGCAGATAAGCCGCTTTCCTCCTACGTGATTCCTAGAAAGGTCATCGCCAGGAGGGGGTCGTTCCCCTCGGAAACAGCAATCCGTTCAGCGCTTTATATATCTTATACAGCAAAGATTTTCTATTTCTTTTCTCAGGAAAAGCACGCTCCAGATATATATATAGTGTCTGACATAAGGTGTCACACCGAAAATATACACACAAGTATAATTTTTTCTCAGCAAAAATTGAGGCATCAATAATTTTCGAGTTATAAGCGAGTGAGAATAAGGCTTTTTGCAAACTAAGTCTTGTGGAAATAAAATATTAACAAAACCACATTCTCCAATTAATTTGAAGTAGAGTTTATTTTAGTAAAATTTTAATTTAAGGTTCAGTTATAAAGATACATGATGATAAAAATTGAGACCGTCCAAAAAATGATGGCCTCCGTCGACATTTTTGTTGAAGAAAAATCGTCTCCAAACAACGAGATCTACTTGTATGTTTTCGGTGTGAACACTTTGTATATATTTGATGTTTATTCGCAAAAATTCTTTAATTTGCAATATGGATTTTTGTAATTAACATCTCCTCTGTTAGATAATTTAGCAAAAGAAAAACTATTATTATAGCGTCC